AACAATAACTGGAAGATTCAAATCCAGTAGGAAAATCCTATCCATTGCAATTAATGGAGTAATTAAAAAATCGAGCACAATTCCTTGCAGTTTTCTCGCTCCCTCCTATAGCGCAATGCTCACAACAAGTACAATTACGTAACTAAGTTCCCATATTATTATTTTTTTAATTTTATTTGTATGAATCCGCTGCGCGGAGTTATTAAAATATCACATTAATTAATTACCATCCTTTTTACGATGTCGACATCGTTATCCGCGCCGCGCATTGCGTTTAATTAAATATAGTTTCTTTTGCTCTAGTCTAGTGTATATATCGGGATCTTTACTACCTCCCAAGCCCGGCGCTTCCACCCGAAAGCGACGATCACGAACACAATACCCTTCTTCCGTTCTCCGCTCGAATCTCCCTTTTAACATTCATAAAAGTCTGAAAGAAATGAGGAAGGATCGTGTTTACGAAATTCACAAGTGAATCTCTCGTCCGCTTTGCTTCATACATTTATTTTTTTCACAAACCTTCCTTGATTTAATTTTATGTACTTTGCCGATGGTTTTTTGTTTGTCCCTTCGTTGTATCCTTAATATAGGGATTTTTTTTTAGTAATCGAAAATGTTTTGTTTCACAATATTTATAGGTTATAAGCAATGAACTTATTTCTAATAGAATTTTAATTAAATTAAGTAGACTTACCTAATGTGAAATTATTACTGTCCTTGGGGCGTTGATAATAATACTTTACTTGGCACTAATCATTTTTATATATTTATTTATTGGTAGAAGAGAAAATAATTTTAATGAATGTTACAACTGACTTTTGTATTTTTAATAACATATTACCAACCAAAACTGAATTTTAATTTCAATGTATTTATAGAAACAACTGCCAACTTAAAATAGTCGTTTGAAAAATAACTCAATTCTAACAATCGATTGATTTATTACTAATACGTATTTTTAATGGTCAACAGCAAAACATGTTGGAAATGATTGAATTAAATGAATATTTTGCAATTTACGTCTGACAGCTGATCGAACTAATATAGATATGGTGCCAACACGTAAATCCGAAAAGCACCCAAAATGTGAGCGTTATCTGGGGGCCGAATGAAGCGTCGCAAATCGGATGGATCGAAATTTGTCCTACGATAAGTACGATGTCATAATCATCGGGGCAGGATTATCCGGGCTTTCGACGGCGCTCGCCATCCTCGACAGGGATTCGGATATCAATCTGCTGATTGTGGAAGCCACAAGTGAGTTTTTCTCAAAAACAAACTAACATATGATTTTGATATAAAAACAATAGGTAACGTCGGCGGTACGAGGTTCTGCGAGGAGAATCCAGAGCCCGCTTTTCTCTCCAGCCAGAGCACGTTCCTCCTCGATCTAGTGGCGAGATGTCACCTGCATACTAAGCGGAATGGAAACACTGGTGCAGATGTGTGCGATTACCGCGGAAATGTCAGTCGGAGCGGCGGTCGTTTACCATTCTTCGGAAGACCGTGGCAATCCCCGAATTGGAATCTGTTCATGGCCAACGTAAGATGCGATTACACGTAACTTAACAAGTACTTGTCGAGTATCGTGTGTGTAGACTGTAAACTTAATTAATTGATTGATTATAGATGGAAGCACTGATCGAACTTCATCCATTTGGCGCAAAGTATGATGAAAAACTGGATGCAGCCTCCATGGAGGATTTCATTTCCTCTCGTATCAAATCCAATATTTTAAAGAAATTCTTCAAAAGCTTAGTGGAGCATTCTTGCGGTTTGTACTATTAAAAAAAAGGAATTAATAAATTTACAAATATTCGTTAGGTGCTACATGCAAGGAAATATCCGTCCTGTTCTTCTTGGCGTTCTGCAGCAGTACTTGCGGCATGGTCAACCTCTTCAGCGGCTCCGACACTTCCCTGACTTCAAATTATATAGAAGTATAGTAATCGTTTGGAGATTATTAACAACAATAATAACGTGATTCGTTAGGGAGGTTTTATGGAATTGTGCAATAGATTAGCCGATCTTCTGGGAGCAAACGCGTTCCTTTTCAACGAGAAAGTAATCGCAGTCAACTCGAAACATCACTGCGTCATCCTGCAAACGAGCAGCAAGGTTTTCAAGTAAATGATTTTATCGAAAACCACTTTGAATTGGAAATTGCGAATTTCTTGTGTTTAAGATGCAGCTACGTTATAATGACTCAATCGCCTGAGGATTTGCTGCGAGTCCGATTCACGCCAGAACTGGAGAAAGAAAGGGATGATCTGCTGCGTGGAATGCAGAGGACGCAGCTGAAAACTTTCGTAATCTCTTCGGAAAACGTAAGTTTTAACGCGATGGAAATAACTTAGTTTTTCATTTCCCAAAAATTCGTAGAAGAAAAATTTTCGAAGGATCTACAACGATTCGGCGCGATTAATAAGATCATGCAGAGATTGCTTCCTCGGCTCCAGTTTCACGATCGACGAATACAGTGTGCTGAAGTCGCTGAAACCGTACCTGGACACTTTCACTTGTCATTTTTCTTGGAGTTCGCACCTGCAGCTCCATCCACGTTTCGTGCCCGATTTGGGATGTATGGTGAATTTCGATGAAATCCGAAAACCGTTTCGAAGGTGAGTTACAGATTAAGAAGTTACAAGAGAATAAGTAATTGATGTTTTTGTAGGACTTACTTTGCCGGATCCGAAACTGCGATCAGCTTCTACGGGATGGCGGAAGGATCGGCCAGATCCGGTTTCCGGGCCGGCTTCGAGGTGCTGTCCCATTTTAAGCCCCAAACACTGACGATGCACGATATAATAAGCTTAACGTTGAGTCCTTTTCCTATGCTTCCTTGCACTCTCAATTAGGTGGTCTCTTCCTTTTTCTAACTTTATGTTATTTTTATTTATTTGCAGCAAAAGACCCGTTCTGGTGGAACAGTACAAAAGCGGATTCCTTTACAACTTCTTCGACTATCTGAGGATGGTGCTGATCGGCACCGCCGTTTCCCTGATTCCCATCCTCTTAATATACAGATTCAAAAGATACTTTTCTTTGGCTACTTTTCTTATAAACCTAAACAAAATCTCCATCCTTATTTCATATTATAATTGAAACATACAATCCTACAGGATTCATATAAAAGTTATATTTTTAATCTAAATTAATTAATAATATTTATTTTAATATAGGCAACCCACTGTACACGCGCGTATTAGACAATTCACTTATTGTGGATTTACAAATATCTCATCCATTTTATTAGATATCATTTCTAATTGTTACTTAATTGAAACAAAACATGTACTTGTATATATTCGTTAATTTACAGCAATGAAATAGTCCGCAAACGTAAATTCCAATTGGAAAGTAATGGGACGCAGTTGGTATGAACAGTACTTGGCGAACTCGCTTCGAGAGGGGGATGCTCAGTCGTCGTTTGTTCTTGGTTGCGTCTGCGTGTGTTCCCATTTCAAACCTTCAAAATTGTTGTGTAAACTATACAAATCCATTGTATAATCCCGTGTTTCGTGAAATCCATCATCAGAGATGACAATCCAATTAGATTTGGGTAATTCGCAGTGAGTAATTATATCTTTTTGTAACCAAAATAAAAATGTACGTTGTATATTCAAAATTTGCTAATTTTCCTATTCGATTCATTCAATTCAAATTTGCTTTCTATCATTCCTATTTGTAATTTAATAAGCTGTAAATTCATTAGAAATTAAAACGCTTCCAAAATGGCGTAGGGACGCTTCCCCCTACCTTGTTTTATATAGCAACAACATTTTTTTTTTTTGCAATAATTAACTATAACGAAGTTGGCACCATAGCAGTCATGCGCAGTATTGCGCATCATTTGCTCAAGACAAGTTCATTCCGATTAGAAATTCTGGAACATTATTGTAAATTCGTGGTGGAAATCAGTTTCACGAAGAGCCGCGATTCTGCGTAGTTCAAATCGATCACGATGATAATGAAATGTGAGTAATTCAATATCTAATTAATTCAAGTCCGGTTAAATTGTGTTCGCTTATATGCAAACAAATAATATTCGATCGGTTGTTAATAAAGATATTTCATTGTGGGATTCCTCTATAGGAATTATAAATGATGTGTATCAATATATTATTATAAATCTTTCAATTCGCGGTACCCCTATAGGACCAACAAAAAGCCGCGAAATATGCAACGCTGTGATTGGTTCATTGCAAATCACGTGACTCGTACGGAGCAGTACGCACGATCACCGCGTTACTTCGCGTCGTCATTTCCTCGCACTAAGACGTGTACGCGTGCGTTTTTCGATTCAAACATTCGAAATAGTTACGAAAGTGCTGAAAGTTTATTTAATTTAGTTCCTAATACAAGGCAGATGGAGGGAAAATCGCTCGGCTTTTTAATTAGTGAGTAATTTTCAATTTTCGTAATTATTTAATAGTAACAACGCATTTTTTTAAAGTGTGTTCGTCGTGCCGCCGCGGCTTTCCTATTAATATTTAATTACTTATTTTCCATCATTCAAATTAATTCAAAACTTTGCAAAGTTTTTTGTGGTTAGTCTGTAACTCGAAAAAAAAACCTATAGGAAAGTTCGAGACTGAAGCCAGAAAGGTGGCAATGTAATAATAATATTTCTTATTATATTGCTTTTTCATGTTAATTAAAAAATGCATACAAAATATTATTTATAAATCTGTATGTAAATAAATAATATAAAAATAATAATATCGATAGACATATTCAAAACCGCACGCACGCACGCACGCCGACGCAGCAGTAACGATAACCAACCGAAATCGGAGTGTTTGATCGATTCGACGATAGAGGGCGCTTATATCTAATGGAAAACATTGGTTATTTGCGTTTATTTAGATTCAATCGCGTAAAGCAATTATGAGTAGGTAATATGGAAGTAAGATGTAATTGAATTTGCAAGAAGCGATTCGGCGTTTATTGCATATGAAATTTTGTTGCGCCAGAAAAAAAAAGTTGATGAAAATTTCAAAATGGATGCGACGCGTCATTTCGAAATGTGGAATTGTAAATCGAATTTGCGGCACAAATTAATAATAATACAGAACGGGAAATTACGGCAATCAGTAGATGAGGTTAAATATTGTGTTAATGCACTGACCTTTGTTAATTGCGGCGACAAATGGATGGATAATGTTGAATTTTCTTGGGAGACGCAGGTCAACGCACGATGCATTCGCGCCACGCACAACAAACGACTGCGTGCATTTCCATGGTGATCCGATCGGGAGATGCGTCTCGGCCAATCAGCGCCACGCATTTTTAACTGCAGGTGTTCAACAATCTGCAACAAAAAAAGAGAATTCTAGAAAAAAAAACCCACTGCACAAAAGAAAAGAGATAAAACTTGCAGCTGTGAATAAATTATAAACGTATTCTGATAAGAAATAGAAAATACATTAGATTTATAAATCAATAAAAAAAACAGAATTCTAGAAAAACAAAACCCACTGCACAATCGAAACGAGAAAAAACTTGCAGCTGCGAATAAATTATAAACATATTCTGATAAGAAATAAAAAA